GTCCTCACCTCGCTGGTCGAGAGGCTGGTGTGCTCGTCCAGGCTCAACACGGCGTCCGTCTGGATGGCAGCGTAGGGGAAGAAGCGGTCGCTGAGCTACGGGGGAGGTGAAAGACAGGTTGGGATGTGCCATGGGGTGGGTGCCTGGCTCCCTGCCCGTGTCCTGACTCCCTGCCTGCATCCCGGCTCCTCTCACCTTCCTCCTGCCCTGGATGATGGTCAGAGGCACGGTGGTCTGGGGCCATTTCCCACTCGGTGGCGGGGGCTTCTCGCAGCTCCACAGCACCAGGATCTGCAGGGGGGAGGACCAGTGTGTCCGGGGGTGTTTGGCCGGGCTGACCCGTCGGGGTGTGTTGGTGCATCGGTGTTCGCAGGGTGGCCAGGGCTGAGCCCCCCCAGCACCGCAGCGGGACCTGCTCCAACCCAGCTCACCCCAAAACCATCTCACGGTGGTCTGGACCACGATAAACCCGCAGGTGGTCCCACCTCCGTCCCAGCGGGCTGGGGGGCAGCTCTGCCCACCCAAGTGCGACACCGTCAGCCACCCCCTCCCACCCCCAACCCCCCCTTTGCCCTTCCCAGCCCGTGGGACCCTGCCCCATCCCTCCCGCTGCCCCCCTGGGAGCTGCACTGAGCGGCGCGGGGCTCAGCACCTGAGCGCAGTACTGGGACACGGAGACGGCCTGGATGAGCCTGAGGATGGGCTGGGAGAGGGAGCCGGATGGCGAGATGGCCCGGATGAGAGCCGTGAACTTCTCGGAAGGGCTGGAGCCTGAAAAAGGCAGGGAGAGGATACGTGTTGTGGCATGCACTGAGTTTGCCGTGCTCAGCCAGGGCAGGCGGGGTCCTACCGTGCTGCAGGTAGTAGAAAGGAAAGTCCCCGAGGTGGGTGGAGAAGCCAGGCAGGGCCAGGAGCCCCCCGGGCAGCGTGTTCCAGAGGAAGTACTCCGTGAAGAGGCTGTGGTAATACCTGGGGAGGGAGCAGGGTGGGGGGCAGGATGCGGCCGAGCCCCCCGCCCCGCCGGCCCCTCCCCGGCCGGGTACCTGTGGTAGAAGGCGGCGGCGGTGAGGACGATGGAGAGCTCGTTGGTCCACCTGGAGGTGTAGCCCCAGCGCCGCTGCTCGGCGTCCCAGAAGTGGCTCTGCGTGGGGAAGCCCACGATGCGCTCGGGGAAGCTGCGCCACACCACAAAGGCAAAGTCCACCTGGGACGGGATGGGGGACAGTGTCACCGGGCTGCGGGGACCTGCGGGAGGGGGCTCTGCGCCGCCCCTGCCTTCCCCCGGCGGTGTGCCCTGGGCGCGGGGACAGCGGCACCGCTCCCTGCCACGCAGTGACCACTGAGCAGCCTTCCTGGCTTGGCATGGGGCTTGCCCCAGCTCCACGGAGCCGGGGACCGCGGCACCCATGGCCTCACCTCGCTGGTCGAGAGGCTGGTGTGCTCGTCCAGGCTCAACACGGCGTCCGTCTGGATGGCAGCGTAGGGGAAGAAGCGGTCGCTGAGCTACGGGGGAGGTGAAAGACAGGTTGGGATGTGCCATGGGGTGGGTGCCTGGCTCCCTGCCCGTGTCCTGACTCCCTGCCTGCATCCCGGCTCCTCTCACCTTCCTCCTGCCCTGGATGATGGTCAGAGGCACGGTGGTCTGGGGCCATTTCCCACTCGGTGGCGGGGGCTTCTCGCAGCTCCACAGCACCAGGATCTGCAGGGGGGAGGACCAGTGTGTCCGGGGGTGTTTGGCCGGGCTGACCCGTCGGGGTGTGTTGGTGCATCGGTGTTCGCAGGGTGGCCAGGGCTGAGCCCCCCCAGCACCGCAGCGGGACCTGCTCCAACCCAGCTCACCCCAAAACCATCTCACGGTGGTCTGGACCACGATAAACCCGCAGGTGGTCCCACCTCCGTCCCAGCGGGCTGGGGGGCAGCTCTGCCCACCCAAGTGCGACACCGTCAGCCACCCCCTCCCACCCCCCACCCCCCCTTCGCCCTTCCCCGCCCCT